CGGAACGAAGTTACGGAAAATCAATTAACAAACGGAGACGTAACACTATGTTTACTCCTCTTTGAATTTGAACCTTTCTCCTCTTCAGCTAAAAAATAGCAAGATATTTCAATATATCCACATACGATAACTCTTACAAACTTGGAATCATCCTGGCAGGTCTTCCCTGAATCCTATCCAACAGTTCAGCATCCTATTTTAAAAATAAGATGACTAAAGCACGTTCACACCAACAGTATGTTTGATAAGGTGACCAAACCTGAACACGGTATTCTAACCAGCACCTCATAGAATGAACTGATAATCTTCTTCTATTTTTACTCAATATTTCTATGTATATAAGTTAAAATCTTGTTTGATTTAATGCTAGCTAGCGTACATTGGCTAGAAGTCTTTATAAATTTAGCAAAATCTTAACTCTGACCCCCTTACCTTATCAAGTACATCTAGTTTCCTTTGTAAAGCTACATGAATGACATTACGACAACCAATAGCCATTACTTGGTTTTGTTTTCAAAATTAAATCATACGACCTTATCAGTAGTTTTTTTCTTCAAAGAATTGATATAGTAATAATAATAATGTTGTTTTGGTAGTATTTATACAATACATAAAGTTGGGGAACGTTTTTCTTTAATAAGGTATCACATTCTTTATCTAGACAGCAGGTGTTACACTGTATTATAACAAACAATTAGTGATGTCCTTAGAAGTCCAAAGATGGCAGCACCAATGAAGTTTGAGTATGTGTATTACAGAATGTAAATCATCGAATAGGAACAAATAATCTGTAAATATTCAATTTTCCTTTTATTGAATGTTCCTATAAGTACACACATGTTTTACATAACAGCACCCCAAAAGATACATATAATTCATTTCAAAAAACTGTCTTCAAGTATTAGGAAAACTATGGAAGGACTAACTGAAATATAATATAAAATATAATTTATAATTCTATTTTGTAATAAAAACGCCTATAATTAATTTTCAAAACACTTAAAGTTTCTAGCACTTCAATTATGAAACCAAGCTTAAAAATAATTCCTACTCACACAAACAAACAAATAACTTAGTTAGAAATTATAAGTCAATTAAATGTATCTTATTCAATGATACAAATTAGTCAACATGTTTTTTGAATAAGCTAATCGAACACGTTAGTGGTGATTGCGGTCAGTGATGCAAATATTAGTACTAATAGTGTAAGTTACGTTTTAAAAATAAGTTAGATGTGAAATAAATGTATGTAGGATTTTTTTGTTTGAGAAAGTAAAATTGTCCGCATGTTTTCATTTATATGATACGTTAAAAAACGGTAAGCAGTTGATCGTGTAATGCTAAATTTTTGAATCACTAACACCATAGGATAAATCTTGTAGTTGTACTAGTACTAGTGGCAGTACTGCTAATACTAATAGTAATACAAGTACTAATAGTATAACTAACACCCAGTTTCTCTGTTATTATAGAGTCTATATCTGATTTCAATGGCCATCTTATGGAACAGATATAAGATGTCATTTTTGTACTGACTTACACTAATAGTAATATAGTTTTAATTTGGTTGGAGTATATGTTATACATTTGCAACAAATAATTGAAATATTATTTTTCACATTTCAACAATAAATATTTTAAGTTACAAAGTACATTAATTAACATAACACTTCTTTCTCCACATCATACTAGTCTTAACTAATAATTGTTATTGCTGAATATAAACTAACTTCTGTTGTAAATGACAATTGAAATTTGTAAACAAAAACAATAGTTGGTCATTTGCATTTTAACCAAACTTTTTTTCTTTTGCTGTTTAACACAGCCCATCAACTTCAAGGAAACTCATTCAACTCAATATCTTACTATAGCAGGGGTTGGCAACCCAAGTAATAACAAGAAAAGCCTTTTTTTTTTTTTAAATTCAGTATAAACGCAAGATACTGAGAGCCACAATGCAGGTAACCTCTATTTCAATAATTGGACTGTGTGAAGAATGGAGCTGCAGGTTGTTGACCCCTGTACTATGGAGTCAAGAACCCAGTTAAATATATGCACTTGTCCAAACATTTTTTTTATAATAAATATAACAAAAAACATTCTGCTAGTTCAAAACTAATCAAATAATTCAAGGCTTAAACCTATCTATTATAATTAAATTCATGTCTTCAATTTTTTCTTTCACTTAGCATTTAAATAGATTATTTTTTAAAAATTGCATACCAAAACCCTTAATGTTTAACACATGTATTAAGCCTATTCTAATTCTCCAATTCCATAAAGAAATTAAGTCTATATTGTGAGCTTTTCCTCACATTTAATGACTGAAACCAGACATCATTCTTGAATTGTGCCTCAATTTGCAGTCCTTCCAGTTATCGATATCCTTTTTGAAGTAAGGGAACCAAAACTGCATACACATTTCAAATAATTCTTCCAGGCTTTTACAAGGCTGCAATAACCTAAGAATTATTAAAAGGGGAATATGTAATCTCTGTAAGATAAAGGGTGGTTGTGCAGGGACAGACTTGAAGGAGCCAGACTAATAGGTATATAGTTCTCTCCATACTTTTTTTTTTAAATAAGAATAACATTGCCAATCTTACAGTCATTGGGATGCAGCACATTTAAGGAATATTAAGGGAAAGCTTTGTAAATATTGAAATGGTAAAGGCTAGCTTTGAGTTATTTTTTCAGGACTTAATGGATAGGACAGTTTCAGTGGACCAACAGGCTCTTTGTTTTCCTTGAATGTTATATGTTATGAATTTTCTCATGTCAAGAGATTTCTGTAAATATCTGTTAAAGCCCCACTAACTCTATAGCTTTATGAACCAGAATATTGTTACTCAATATCAATCAATGTGCCTTATATAGTCCAAAGGTGTGAGACCTGAAAGGGTGCAGCATTATCCCTGGGCTCAAAGCAAAGGGGTGCTGTACATCTGCTGATATTATCATTTTAGCATAATAATAATAACAACTGAATACACAGTTTATATGATATACTGGGTTTACAATATAGTTAAATGGCTTTCAACATAACTTATAAAAGCTGTTCCAGTGACACTGGTATAGTCTGATGATGTTGGAGTGTTTTGTCTGTGCTCAATCATTTCCAAGTACCTCATTGGGATCGTTTAGGTATTACCTGTAATCTACACTGGTTCTTAAGCAAATAGGTAAAGTATCTTTTGTGTACATGGATAGTTTGTATATAATTTTTTTTCCTTCAACCCACATGGGTAACAAACAAAAATTGCTTTGAGATAAGAATTGTTGGTTTATCGATGGTAAGCAGTCACCTTTTAAATTATTTTACCCAGCCATTAATAAACTTATCCAACAAAATCATATAATTTATTTAAAGCATTCAAGAAGTTAAAAAAATAAAAAAACAAACTAATGTTTTAGTTGTATTGTTTAATAGTTGGGTGTGGTAGTGTTCACTTTTAGGGTTGATGCTGCACTTGAATATAATGGCAAATTGGTACAAGAACTGTCATGGGTCAGTAGAGCTATCTTGTTTAACAGCTATAGTGTCATTGCAACATGTATGTACTTCCTGAATGTTGCCTTTGTTTCATTCTGGTGAGCTGCAAGTGGAGTTTTTCATGCGAGGAACACCCTGTACAGGAACTTTGGGTGTGCAACAAATTTTTTAAAACTGTTTCACAAAAAGGAAAAATACTAGTTAAAAGTATATCTCTTCTTGGATTTTAGTGTTCTATCCCTCAGGGCAGCTGGAATAATTACTGTGTAATGGTCTTATGTATTTTCTATAATGAAAGTGGCCCACTTTAAAGCTATACTCCAGTTCTCCTACAGACATAGTGTTAAATAATGTGTTTTGTATTATACTGGTTCATTGTATATCAGTAGCTGTTTAGAATGTGTATAAAAGGTTTTATTGCTAAATTTTGCTTCCATAAACTCGCAAGAGATGATTGGTTTGGTCCTCTGAATTATTTTGCAGGAAAATAATAATGTTACACTTATGATTAAAAAGACAAACATTAAATCACAAGCAAAGGCAATGGAAGTCGTCAAAAAAAGCATGCTCTCTGAATGTATTTCTAGACTTTTTAATCATCAGCTTTGTACTTCAAAAAGATCTCCATCAGAAGCTCTGGTGAAAATTTATCATGATGCTTTAAGCAGTAATGAGCTCACTTTGAGACCTGGTGATTTAATTAAAAATGAATTGTGTAAAGAAAAATTGTGGTGGGTAGGGGAGTTGGAGGGTCAGCAAGGTTTGTTTCGCAAAGATACTGTAAAGGTGAGTGAAAAATGTGACTTAAGCATATGTATATTCTCTCAAGCATAACTCGTATCATTTGATGTGTTTTGATTAATTTAAGATTTTTGAACTAGTTGTTTTTATTTTTTTACAATTTAAGTATATTAGTTGGATACACTTAAGTACTAACATAACATTTGAGGGACAACAAAAGGTTTATTAGACTATTGTGGCGCTCCCATTCATTTCATCTAACATCCATTTGTCTATATCCAGTTAAGTTCTCATCAAGCCCTCTCTTGAACTGTCCCAATCTTGTTTTATCCATCACATGAGAGTAATCTATTCAAAAAGGTAACCACCCTAATTGCCTAATTTGCAGACCAATTATACCCTACCAAATCTTAAATCCATATCCAATAGCAATACCATTCATACCATTAAACACAAAAGAGATGTTGTATCGAATGTAGGAAAAAAGTCGCAATTTGAAAATTTTTGTTTATAATTTTTAAGCTCATAGAAGTTAAATTATCGAAATATCCCACTCATTATATATTAAAATACTTGTAAAGTTTACAGACTGTTTGTAGAGTGCTATTTGATTTAAAAGCATGACTCCATGAATCTTAATGAAGAAATGCTTAGATTAGATGATGTATTAGTAAATTCAATATATAATGTATGAAATGAAATAGGAGCCATCCAGGATCATAATCCGGACTGATCTCGTGAGGTCAGGTTTGGCACCACGTTCCTCAGGTCAGATGTAAAGCCATGTTCTTTAGGTAGTGGTAAGCCAGGCGAGTAGCATTGTTCCTCATTTACATTTACATATATATTTCCTTGTACAACAGTTATGTAAGTTATATAATCGTACATCAGAGTTCATGAAACCTATAGTGTACATATTCATGGGCTTTAATAATAATAATATGTATATTGATCCACTTTTTGGTTTTTCACTTGCATTCTGTAACAGTATAGTACTGAAAAGTTTTATTTTCTTCTTTATTATATCCAGGAGATAAACAGTGTCATCATGATACAATAGTTGTATATCAATCTCCTTACATATAAATGTGCATGAATAATTGTCTTTTGCTGTGTAACATAACTTTTACAGCCTGCAGTGTATTTTGTACTATAAGTCATTAACTGTTACTGTGAAAGTAGGTGTGTTTGTTACAATATTTTCACATTGTATATTACTTTAGTTAAGCTTTCTGGGTGGCCACATGTTAAATTGTAATTCTAATAAGAAGTGATTTAAGTTGTTTGTTTTTTGTAGTTAATCTAGTTATCATATTTGTGATATACATGTACGTGGAACATGGAACAAAGATTAAATTAGCATCTGTATCAGATTGGTTTAGTTAAATGTCAAAATAGACATAGTCCTTGTAAAATGATGAAAAAATTGTCAGTTCATTATGTTTTGTGTACTTTTCATGTGTTTTGTGATGAGTTCAGAACTAAGTACTTAATTTCTGTAAAACACGGCAAGTATTACAAGTTGTCATGGGGACTACATTGTTTATTAGTTTAGAAAGCCCAAAGTTGTATTATTATTATTTATTGTGGATTCAATGCCATGTTAGTTTTTTTGTGTGTGTGTGTGTGTGAAATAAAGTATCTTTATATCAGGATCGTAATTTGTGGATCTTTTCAGTTCCTTCCATTGATACACTGCTGTATCATTGGGCAACTTCCCTCTTTAAAAATGGTGACTCCCTGCAAGAAGGCAAAAGTCCTGGAAAAGTATAAAGATTTGTGGGAAAACAAGTTTTACTGGGTTATTATAAAGTCCAGTCTTGGAGAAAACTATGCTAGATGCACAGAACACGACTGTGACATTAAAGTTACAGCATCAGGCATATGTGATGTAGACAAATATATATAAAATTAGCACTACCTCACTGAAATTTAAAAGCTAGCGGCAAGCAGCTTCAGCTAGTGTTTTTGTTTTTTTTTAGTGAGACCTGGTTCTATCACCATACTGTATGAATAGTTTAAGAAAATAATGGGTTTTTATGGTAATAACTACATACAGACAAGAAAATGAGTTGACAGGTATCCTACGTTGTAGCACTAGTCTCTTTAGGCGGGCCAAGATAGGGAGTTTGATTACTTTTATTTTCTGCACTCTTAGAAACTGAGTTTGGTCAAGCCTTATAAGTCAAAAGAAACATCTCTATACAAATCACTATGTATGTGGAACTTTATTTATATCGTTGTTGTTGTTACTTGTTTTATAAATAGAAAACCGGAAGCATGAAAATGCATTTTCTGTTAGTGTTGAACTAAATTATTTGAAACTGACATTTTCAGGTAAGACTCATAAAGTAATCCTTTATGATTACATTTATTTTTATTTATTACCTTTATGCTGTAGACACACAATTTATTTTGTAAGGTCTCTGTTGCTACAAAATTGTTCAATTCATATGATGTAATGAAAATCTTTACAGTTCAGTATTGAAAGAGGTAAGAAGGAAATCATGGAAGTGGAGTCACCAACTACTACTAATACTGGAAAAAGTAAGAAGAGATTCTGCTTTACTTCACTATCCCTGATGTTTTTGTATTTGTATGTACTTAAAATTGTACAAAGTAAATCATAATAATCAATTTTGAGTTATGATTCCATTGAAAAACCATTTTGGTCAACTTCCATGTATAAGCATGTTGTGTTCCAATACCTATACCATGAAGTGGCTTCATGTATGTCTGTATGTAGTGGCAAACATTTTCTAACTTTTTTGACCCATAATCATGATTATGGGTCCAATGAAATTTTCAGGGGTTCTTGGGTATGCCAAACAGAATTCTAAAACTCATTACTTGAAACATTTTCTAACTTTTTTGTATGTTGAAGAGGTACTTAAATTTTCTATCTTAATTTTTTCTTTTTTTTTTGGTGAAAAACAACTGATACAAGTATGTTTTAACCAATCATTAGCAATGGTAATCAAATTTTAAAGACAACTTTTTTCTGCTTCTTTGTTGGTCAAGCTTGATTTTGCAAAATTAATTTATTTCAGTAAGCTATGAAATGTGAAGTTAGGGTATACTATGGGGTTGGGTGGTAGTACTTGCCTCATCAATTTTGAAGGGCTATATGCTAATATATATATTCTGCTATAAACATATTACTTCAACTGTGAAATCCACTTTTTCACTAATATTTCAAACAAAATTCAGCTCTCCCCCCATATAATAATTTAACTTCTGAAAAAAAATTCAGCTTCTATTAAGCAGCTGAAAAAAATACTGTATCAAAACATCAAAAATGTTTCACTTATTGAGCAAATCTTCCTCAGTTGATAAAACTGAGCATACTTTGCTGAATAAGTGAAACATCTTGATATAGGATTTGTTTTCAGCTGCCCGAGAGAAGCTGAAGTTGTTTAGAAGTTTTGAAAACATCTGGGTTTCTTCATCATAAAGTAAAATAAATTAATTAATGTTTCTTCATGAAACTTTCTCTGTCAGGTGATATAAACTGTGTTTTAATGACAGAAGAAGGTTGGTTATGGACTTCATAATTAATCAACCCTCTCTCATCATGAAATTTTCTTTTTCCTGCAGTCTTTTTATTGCTTTTTCTTGAAATTTGACCTTCATGAGACTTTCAGTTGTTATTTTATGTAGTATCATTGCTTTTTTTTATATTCAACTTTGTATTGTAATAATTTATGCAACCACTGTAGGATTTCTGTGAAACTTTTCAGAGTTAATTCATTAACATTTTTATTCTTTTTCTTTTTGGTAACTTAACATGTTTGTTTTATGTAGCATTTTTGGTTATTAACTAATACCAACTTGTATACATGTATAAGATGCTGTCATTGAAAGATATCTTAGAATGTACAATATTTTTATGCATGTGGTCAGAACAAAGCATTTGTATGTTTAATAAGAATGCATTATAGCCTACAAAAATTTGGCATAATTATATAATCATGTTCCTGCAAAACATATGCAATAAAGAGTTTTTTGTTTAAGCATACTTAAATATCCAAGGTTTTTAAACTTTCTTGTTGTTATGCATGTAATTGTTCATATATTTAGCATGAGACTCAAACATTTTTGTAGCTACTGCTAAACGTGGCCGAGCAAGGGCTCTCTATAGCTATACGCCTGTCAATGAGGATGAGCTACAGTTACAAGTGGATGACATTATTGAGGTTCTAGATGAAGTTGAAGAAGGCTGGTGGAAAGGAATGTTAAAAGGACTTGTGGGAGTATTTCCATCAAATTTTGTAGTAGAAGAAGATGGAAATGGTAATGTGTTTGAGCCGAGTGGAAAAACTGAGAAAGAATCCGAGATAAATAATGATCCAAGAACTGTTGCAGCTCCTCCAAGTAAGACAAAGTTTAGTAGTTGCATCTCATGTTCTGTGTTGCTAAGCATGGTTCATGTAATGATGTGTGATCAGTTTTAAGCAATAATAATATAATAAGTTTCAGATGTGTGTGTATAATGTACAGATTATCTAAATAGGTTGTTATTGAGGTAGGAATCTATACAGAGAGTTCATGAAGTAACTGCACTAAATATAAATTGTTTATTTTCATTACAGTTTCAAATATTGAATTGTTATGAAATTTGAGATTATAACTCAAAACACCATGGAACTTCTTTAGGTGTTTTGAAATAAGTGACACTACATGCATGTTGTCACAGGGTGGATTGTAATAGATGCAAAGCTGCAACCAGAAGAACAGACAACATGGCTTGTTAAACAACAACTTCTTGTCATGTCCACCAATCCCAATGTGGTTTCCATCCAGTGCTGCACATATTTGATTGCATGTTCACTGGCTACATCAAGGTTTTTTGCTGTGTATGGGTCCTGGAGTTGTGGACAGACACCATGGTGGTTCTTGACCTTCTGACCTGGAAACATAGCTGATCGAGAGCTTTCCAGGTGCTCCACCATTTTTCTGCTCAGCTGGCGTGATGCCCATGCTTGTGTGTGGAAGCTCTTGGAAGCAGAATTTCCATATTTTTTGTTCAGTTGAACCACAGAAACTATTCCGTGATATCAGGTGCTTCTTAACAACTGAAACTGTTAGACACTTTATGGAATGCATAAGAGCACTTGGAGAAAATGGCAGTGGCCATTATGAAAATTTTTTACTATCTTATACCTTGCCTGCATATTTCATTCAAAGGAAATATGTGTGTGTATACATATTTTCAACCGCAGCACTATATCTGCCCAAACGAAATGTTTAGACATTCAATAACTTCATGAGTTGTATTCTCATATTTCCTGGCATTCTGTCTAGCCGTTCTGGAGACACATCATTTAGTGCATTTACCTTATAAACTCATTTTACTGTGTGTAGCGACTGTTCAGGTATCAACATTGCCACCTTCAACAAAAAATTTAAAATAGATCACTTTGAATGGATATATTTTATTTTTAAATTTGAATTGAAATATTAACTCATACTGTAGTATAAACATTTGTATTGAAATTTAAATATATCTCTTTTTTTTTTACCTACTAAACATTCAAGTTTCAGCTGTATAGCACTTTTTCTATAGGAACAGTAAATTCATAATTGCATCTTATAGTGATGAAACAATGCATAGTTGTATTTTGTTTACACATTAATTTTAGGATATCATAGTATACAAGTTAAAATATAGAACTTAATGACAGTGATTAGTGTTGTGTTCCTTGTCACTGCTTTCATAGTACAAACTTGAGGATTAGTTTTACCAAAATATTTATACTTTTGTACATGAGATATTTATAAATACACTTGGAACACCTGCCCCACTGTTCTGATATATTTTGCATGTGTGAAAAAAAAAAGATAAAAATTATACTAGGTGAAATTAAATAATCATATAAGATGAATCATTGCAATGGTAAATGATACAAACCTGTGAAGAAAAGTTAGATATGGGTTAAAGAAATATACTTTAAATTGTGTGATATGTTATTATTATAAAATAAAAAAAGATGCCATGATTGCAAAATCAATTAGTAACACAAAAATCTTATCAATTTGATTGCATAAGTGGTGATGGAAAATTTTAAGGAGACATGTAGCAAGTTTGAAAACTGTTTGAACTTATGCCTAACCAGTGTAAAGATTGTAGTTACTTATGTTTAAATAGTGCAAATACTCATTAAATTACATTCATTCAGATTGGAGACTGCATTTACATACATTCATTCAATGTGTAAACCACATTTATTTACTTCCGAGACGATAACTCATCACCACACACAGAATAGCTATATCCCTCATGCATCTGTCTATGAGCCTTGCATGCCACTAGCCTTGAGCTAACTCCCACTTAAAATTCCCCTATATAATGTATACTGCTGTGGTGCATGATGATATCAGCTTGAAACAACACCACCACAAATAGGAGGGTGACACAACTTTCATGTGCAGTAACACCCCTAAAGCATTTGTACTTGAAGTAACTTCATTCTTTTCCACAGCATTACATTGAACATGTATTACTTTTTTCAGGTCTATGTTCAATTTACTGAGCTTTGCAATCATCAATGAAACTTATTTAGCTTTTGTTTCAAAAACATTGATTAACACATAATGAATCCTCAAGTGATGGTGTCTCTCAATATGTCCTGTGAAAGTAACTGAGTTACAAACACAGGACCTATTTGTACTATGGCTTCTGGAGGCTTGTTGGCTGTTGAGGATGTTACAGCTATTTTACAACTTGTTGTGGGTTTCCTCATGCAAACTGGTCCTCCATTTCCTGTCCCTTTGGTTGATGTCCTTTCTCCTCAGTTTGTGATTGACCAGGAGTATAACAAATTTAATCGGCTATTGCCCCTACTTGGGTTTGCTTGGAATACCATCTTTACCGACTGGGTTTACAATCCTCAGCATTCCAGTCTTTTTATGGATATGATTTCTCAGGTATGCTTCTTTCTTTATCTTTATCAAATGTCTTTTGATTTTTTGTGTTCTTTAATTCATGAAACCAGTTCTTGGGATTACCTTGTCTTTCTTCCTTCACCTAATATTAGGGTTCATGCTGATTCCTTTCTCTAACAAATCCACACTTGTACCAACATGCCTTATCCCCCTTTCATTGCTGATTGTTTTGTCCTGACTTCCTGCTATTTTTTCTTTCCCTTTCTGGCCCGTTGGCTTCTACCTCCCCTTTCTTGGAAGATATCCTGTCATACCTTCCTTTTTCAGCAGGAGGCTGCTTGATTGGAATAATTTGTCACACTTTCAAAGTCTTTCTCATGCCTACACAGTATTTCATACCTCTTGGCATTTTCTTCTAATCTGATCTTGGTAAGGTTCAACCTTTACGTCTTTTCCTGTGAGATATGGAATGTCTGGTCACCATGGTCTACACTTTTCATTTTTATCCTGTGCATGAAATTATTTTGCTTCTGGGGACTCTGTTTTCCCTAGAATCACTAATACCTTTTTCCAGTGAACCTTGCAAGACTAGTGGAACCATTGTCCTCAATTGTGAATCTCCCTCTTCTTGAGGATTTGTCTTGGTGGCTAGACTGTGTCAGTACCACAATTCCATTACCCCCCCCCCCCAAACCAAATCCCTATCTCTTCACAGTTGCTTCCCCTTTTGGTTTGGGGCACATCTCTGAATGACACCTTATCTTTTGCCATTTGAGTGTGGGAAGAGGTTCACTTCATTTTAACGTGCTTGAACTTGATGTTTGTGAGGCATGTTCCCTTTTCCTACCTCTTCTGGTGGTTGAGTTGATCATAATCCTCTCTGACATTTCCACAGTTGCTTCTTATATAACTTGTTGAGGGGGCAATTATTCCAGGATTCTTTGCTTTCAGGTGTTGGGGTGTTAGACCTCCTCCTCTGGACTCTTTTCCCATCAAGTTCATCATTTTGTTTGTCATGAGCTGTTGGCTTTGAACCTTGTAGCTGATTGTCTGTCTCAGCTTGATTGCATTCTGCCCTTGGGATGGTCTCTCCACCCCCAGTTTTTTAATTGTTTTTGGATTCAGCTCAATACACCTCCCATAGATGCTTTTGCTTCTCTTCTTAACTCTAAGCCTCCTCTCTTCTGGTTCCCAGTTTCTCATCCTTTGATTTTAGCTGTCGATGTTTTTAGCCACGACTTATCTCACCATTTGCTGTATGACTATTCTCTTTTGGGTCCTCACCTTGATATGCAATTTTCCTTGGCAGGTCCTATACGTGGTGCCTCTTTTGCCAGCTCGGCCCTGGTTTCCTATACTTTGATTGGCATCCAGACTCCTCTTCCTCTACCCAGTTCCCCTCTCTATTTTTTTCAACCTTACAAGCCTTTTTTTTTTCATCCAGGTGTGTCATCCATTTATTATCAAGTGTGGGATTTGTACAATCCATCACCCATAAGGCTTGACTCATTGATTGTGTAGCCTTTTTCTTACCCCATTCCTGTCGTCCTTCTATTTTGTTTGTCTATCAATGTAAGTGGCAGGATTTTCATCATTGGTCCATCTCCACGGTTGTCCCACTGTGACCCACCTTTCTGCCTTTTCACTTGGTTGTTGGACCATGGTTTGCCAATATCCACCATTCGCTTTATCCCTTACTTTTTGCCTTTCCAGTTACCACAGGATATTTACTTCCCCCTGTAATCTCCACTCTGTACCGATTTTTCCTTCTTCATTGACACCTTCATATGATTTCTACGCCTGATTGGGACCTTGCTCTCATATGTGGCTCATTTGAGCCACTAACTTCTTGTTCTTTCCTCCACCTTTTTGTTATAACTTCCTTCCTTCTTTTTCTTGTCTGTGGTCACTGTTGTTCAGATATCTATGCTATTGATGCTTCTTACACTATTCCACCCCACTTCTTTACTTCTCTTTCCAGACTGTTTTTTCCTAAGCTTCAACCTCTTGGGAAGGTGACCATTCTTTCTCTCCTATGTTTCTTCTTTCTATCTATCATATCTATGCTCATTCTGACCCAGATCAGCTCTTATGTCCAGTTCAAACTTTTTGATGTTGCTTGTCTCAAACTCCTCCCATCATTGTTTATTTCTACCTTGGGACCTTCCATCATCTAGAGTTTTCTTGGCTTCAACTTTAACCAGATGGATCCATCAGCTCCTTTGGTTGGTGTATCCTTTTCTGCATTTTGCTGCTTGCAGACTCACATTTCATTGCATCTGCTTCACCTCTTGTTTCATTCTCTTGCTTCTCATTTTTGCCGCCCCACACAGGGTTTCAACCCCACAGTCACCATTCTTCATTTGAACCATCATCTTTGAGATGATTAAGCATATTCTTTTTCTCTCTTCCTTTCCATATAACAGAAACCTACAAAGTAGCTGGTGTTGCCTCCCAGGGCCAGGATTGGAAAGTGCTCATCCCATTCA